TTGTTCATCTTCCACTTGCTTTAACAATTGGCCCTATTCATTTTGTTAGCCCATTCTCTTTGTAGATGGGGCTCTAAACCATATAGAGCAGAGAACTGCTGTCCTCTTACAAAGTCAGGCTAATTAGAAAACATGCATTGGATAAAATAATTAGTATTGCTGAGTTGAACCTACTTCAAATAATGATTTTAAAAAGGGATCTTTTACATCCATACAAACAGGTTATTTCTGCTTTGAATCATGTTAATTCACTTGTGAGGCCTCCTCTCGTGACTTGCATATGATTCATTATTTAATTCCTGGTGGAATGAACAAATGCAAACAGTTCGGTTTTATGACGTGATATATGCATGGAGAATGAAAAAGTCGAAAAGTTTAATATGAATCAGGCAGTCTTTTTAAAAAACCTAATAGCTGCGATTGCAAAACTGAGAAACACTAACCATTTTCATTTTTAACAGTCTCGCTATAAAGCAGACCTGAACTTCATGAAAGGGGTTGGTTGGCTGGCTCTAAGATCTCCACAGATAGAAAATGTAAAGAAGGCTGGAGAGCTCATCAGTGAGGTACTGATACATTTTTCATGGGCTGGCACATCTGTAGGAATTGTTTACTATCAAGGCTCCTCGTTACATGACACTTACGAATGTAGCTTATCATTTCCTTTTGATGTGGGAGCCTGTTTATACAAAGCGTAAGTTACCAAAGAGCAGTATGGGAGATGAGCGTCCACTTGTGACACTCGCGGCATATTTTCTATTCCAACGGACATGCTTGTCTAAAAACAAAATATGTAAACAAATAAATGCAGTAAACGCCAGTATGAAATGCTAAGCGGATGAGCTACAGTTTTTAAAATTGCATGCTATTGCGCATAACATTGACAGGAAGGTGATTTAGCCTAATCAGCATCATTTATTACTGCAGAAACTGTGTACCATTCCTAACTAGAGTTTATGAGATCTGTATATAAGAAGTGAATTTGTTAGAGCAAACTCCTGTTTGCAAAACGAAAAGAAACTTTTATTTGTGCACACTGCAGTGGCACATTGGAACCACATTTGCCAGCATTAAAATAAGGGTTGGCACTAAAGGAAAAACACTTTGTTTTTAACACCATGGTTTGAGGATAGTGGTTTGTTTGTTTTTCATTTTGTTCCTGTTGTCACATATGCAAAATTCTCATTGATCACTATTTAATAGAAGCCTCTTGTTTTTTTTTCACTTGCAGGCAAAGTATCGTCAGAAGCCAGGGAGTATGAAGTTCACCACAGTGGTTGACTCTCCGGACCTTATCCACGCTAAGCATAGCTACATCCAGTGCAGTGATGTATGTTTCCTTTTACTGTAATAGACCTTACACTTTTTGTGATATTGTAGTGCATCGATTGGTTTTCCTCAACACTGCTGCCAGCACCAGAGTCGTCACGCTGAATACTTTTTGATTTCACAGAGGCTGTACAGATCTGGAGACTCTGCTGCAATGCACAGATACACCCTGCCTCCTGACCACCCAGATTTTGTCAGAGCCCGCCTGAATGCACTTCATATCAGTGATGTAAGTGACAGATCATTTCATTTCAGGCGGTAGACTTTGTAATAAACTGGACTGCTTAATTAAGGAAAACAGGCTTTAGGAAGTTTTCCTCTAGATACAGAAGTTAAGGTGCCCTTTGGTGAGCCTGACTGAAAATGAAAAAGCCAGAGGACAACAGAGACATACCTGAGTCCAGACGGGATTGGAAGGCTGTATAGTTTTATTGACCAGAGAAATAAAACTCTCCTCTTCTCCTTTGAGAAGCAATTCTATCTGGTAGAGTGGAAAGCGATCAGGAATTTCTATCTTTCAATCCAGTTGTGATTATTGGGCAAATTAAGACCCATTCAATCACCTTTGGGAAAATAGGCTCTGTCCCGGGATATGTAATTTGTGTGCATGGCGGGGGAGGGGGGCACCTTTTGGCCTGAACTGATCCTTTTAGCATACTAGTCACCTGTGTGTGTGCAGCTGTGCCAGCCAAACAGAGTTGGGTTAACAGATTCTGTCTCCACAGTGCAGGCCCAGGCAGTATTTCTGTCCCTAACTTCTTGTGATGCCATGTGCTGTTAAACAGCTGGTCTCTTGGGGGCTACATTTCAGTGATGGGCAGAGAGATCCTTGGATCTACATTAGTTCACAATGTGCTTTGGGTGAAGGGTGCTATATACATGTAAGATTTTATTGTATAATTTGAAGCCTTAATCTGTCTGAAAGGCCAGTTATGGAGGTACAAGCGAGGCCTAAAAAATACATTTCTTGTTATCCTCTCTAATACGGGGAGGAAAATTTGTTGGTTTACAAACCTCCTCACTCATGTCTGAGGAAAAGAGTAAAGAAGATCTGCTGCTCACGCAGCTAAAGCAGTTTTGCCACGACTTGACAAATCTCATAATTGTCAGATCTGCATGTAATGTTTCTTCTCAAGATACCAACATTTTGAACCAGAATTATCAGAGGAGCAGTGAGGACATGGAGATCTTTGTAGCCTTTCATTAAACATCAAATTGTTTGTGGTATTTACAGAATTGGATCATGTGCTGCACATGGAAGGTTGTTGAGGGAGAATGACCTTACAGTGCACAAAAAGCTATTGATATTTTAAAGCTGTGGCGATAACTACGAATCAAATGGATGTAATGTGTGAGGATGAGGACAAAACTCTGCACACTGTGATAAAGAAAATGACTCATGGGGTTCCAGATCAAAGGACCCATGTAATATTAAGACTCACAGTGGCAACGCAAAAGCTTTGAGAGATTACATAAAAAAAAAGCCAGACAGGAAATGACTGTGATGTAGCATACAGCCTGCACCCAGCAGTTACTAAATGTAAAGGGGCATTGTGGGTACAAGTTCAGAATCTGGGCAAATGTCATTGTTGGGGAGAGACTAAGGATCATCGGATTCACATTCACTTCGTTTTATAAAGCCCACGCTAATAATGACCAAAAGTTGCATGCCATCTGAAGGCTACTGAGTGGCCTCAGTCCAATCGTAGGTGTCCACACGTGAAAAACAACAGTGCCAGTTTCCACTTCCTGGTTGGAATTCTCATCAGAGAAGCAAGGGGCAGATTGGTTCTGGAGACTGAACTATGACTAGGGCACATTAGTGGGCCTTGCACTGCCGCCTCCCATCCTGTAACTGTTCAGAACGTCCGCTGGCTCAGTCTGCTGTCTTGCACAACCACCACCTTCACTTGCAAAACATAAGAAATAGGTTAATGTATTTTAGAACTTGAAATGTATATTGGTGACGTGCTCAGGTGTAAAACATATATCAGAAAAACTAGACTGCAGCCTCAGAGGGTGCAGGTGAATAAAATTAGAAAGGGAAAAAATAGAAGTGTCCGCTGAGACTTAAAAAGAATCAGATACAGCAGTTTATGTAGCCAGCACATAGCATTTGACACTGCATCCTATCCACTCTGAAAGCTATAAATACCACTACTTGGAAAAGAATCAGAACTAGAGCACTTTCACTTTGAGAATGCATTTCACAGCCTCAAAGTCATATCCAATGTGTTACAGGCAGATGTTATTCCAGATGAGTTAATGAAACCACATGTAACATGGGACTGAAACAGAGCACATTAGAAAAGCTTGAAATGACTGGTTACTGAAACTCTGGTACTGAAATTCTGAAGACACAAAACCCAAGGCACTACAAGCGGATGCATCAAAAGACAGAATAAGGGCAATATCGATGCAATATTGATGTGCCTGATGCATCAAAGTCGCTAATAGAAACTCAATAAAATCAAAACCAATCCATGTGAAAATGTAAAAAGAAAGCCTGATGGTTGTATTTAGACATGAGAGATTTCATCATTATGTTTAATAGGAAAGAAACCGAAGTGCTATAGAATCTGATCCCAAATCTTTGGAGATTGCTGTCCAGATTCATCATGACAATGAATCCTTTAGAATAAAACATTTATTACTGCAGCCACAAAAATAGATTTAATGAACTGACTGTTTTCTCCTCTTCTTTTTAACACAGAAAATGTATAAAACAGCCTGGGAACAGACAAGGGCAGCTGGCTATGATTTTAGGTTGGATGCCATCCCATTCCAGACAGCTAAAGCTTCAAGAGAAATTGCCAGTGATGTAAGAAGTGTTCAGTTTACAAAATACACCCCTACAAAGCCATTAAACCCGGACATAAAAAGTGGGTCTTGGAAGCCAGTTTGGGTGAGGTGGTTATGTGGTCAAACCAGATGTTTGTGCAGAATTAAGTTTGAAGTTTTCCACTAGGAACGCCATTTAATAATATACAGTACGTGACAGGAGTATTTTTAAAGGACCTAGTCATGGGGGGTAGGTTTCTGATGATATAGTACTGTAAATTGGGTACAAGATTTTGATTAGTCAAAATAGTGGGCCTACCTAGGCCACTTATTAGATTGAGTGTGAACGCAAAAGACATTGGGTCACCCTGTGAACACATAGGCGAAGAAATTGCAGTAACAGAAGCTGCATTGCTTGAGTCATTTATAAACGGACTAGCCAGCTCAAGGAAAAAAGTAGACAGCTCTCCAAGAAATGGTCCTACATTGGCAGGGGTGTTGGCTTCACACATTTTTCCTGTTTCTTTAACAATTACCAAAGAGTTTATTCTACTGTGGTTACATAGTTGTACTATAAATAATGGCTTTTTTTACAAAAAAATATAGACACGTGGCTCAGACTCCTCTTGGTTTAAGTGCACAGAGGGGATCCTGTGCCTGCTGAAGAGAGAGCTATTGATGGGAGGGGTGGGAATTCAATTAATAAGGCAGTTGTATGATGTGCAAATGAGATTTCCTTTTCCAACACCCTGCAGTTCAGGTACAAAGAGGCCTTCCTGAGGGATAAAGGCCAACAGATCGGATTCCGTAATGTGAATGACGATCCCAAAATGAGGCACTTCATCAGGGTGGGAAAACTCCAGAGCGACAACCAATACAAGAAGGAGTTTGCCCAAAACAGGACACAGTTCACGAGTCACATGAATCAGCCCAGATTCATCCATGCTAAGAAGAGCCAGCAGCTAATCAGCAATGTAAACTACAAACAGCCCCTGCCCCAGTACACTTGTGATCCTGAGCAGCTGAATCTGAAGCATGCAAAACAGGCCTACAAACTCCAGAGTGATGTAAGTATATCTGCACTATAGGCTATGTTAGGGTGACCAGATGTCCCGATTTTATAGGGACAGTCCTGATATTTGGGGCTTTTTCTTATATAGGCTCCTATTACGCCCCACCCCCATCCTGATTTTTCACACTTGCTGTCTGGTCACCTTAGGCTATGTTTACAGCACTCACTCCAGGTGCAAAAATCCTATTGTAAGAAAAAAAGGAGCATCTGCTTTCTAAGAATAAATAGTTGTTTGATTCTTGATCCTGTAGGACCTGGCGTGTGTCGTGTCCAGGGCCGGCTCTGGCTTTTTGGCCGCCCCAAGCAAAA